GGGGGGGTCGTGGGGCAGCTGCTGGTGCCGCGGTGGCCTCCGGGCTCCTCTCGCAGGCACATCACATCCCCCACCATTGCAGCAGAGGGGAGAAGAGCAGGGACCCCCCAGGTGGGAGTTCAGGGGTCTCGCCCCGGGTTCTCCTATTCCCAGTGACCTTTGGCGGCCACCTGCTGCCTTCCCCCCACACCCATCCTGCGGCTTTGGGCAAGGCACGGCGAGACGTCCGGCATGGGGTGCTGGTGCCAGCCCAAACCTCGTCCCCCCCGTGCTGGTGGGTCCCCTGGTTTGAGTGGAGCCGTGCCACCACCCCTCCCTGGGGTCCCCCTGCATCCCCATTAACAGGTGGCTGTTTGCTCTCCCCTCGCAGGATCCCCCTGACCAAGTTCCCCTCCATGCGGCGGGTCCTCAACGAGGTGGGCAGCGAGATCCCCGACATGCACGCCCTCACCCAGCGTCTCAAGTTCAGGCTGGGCTTTGCTGACCTGGCTGAGCCCACGCCGGAGATTCTGAAGAACTACATGGATGTGAGTAACACCCCCCCACTGCAGCTGAGCCCAGTGCGATGCCGGACGGGCGGCTGTTACTTTTGGGACTACCCATCCCAGGGGGGTGGTGGGACATGCCAGCCTCACCATCCTGCCACAGTCCAGATGTTGATCCCGTAGGAGAGATTCATGCACCCCCACGGCTTGGTGGGCAGTTGCCAAAAGTTGCTTCCCATCATTGCTTAACTGAAAATACTAATACTAAAAATTATTATAGTAATAATAACAACTCACTGCCACCTGAGTGGAAGCTTTGCAGTTTCTGTGACCTATTTCCTTTCCCCTTTGTCACCAATTGATGATTGTAAATAGGGGCCTGCTCTTTTGTGGTCCTTCCTAGCATCTTCTGGTTCATTTGGGCTCCACTTCCTGCAAGACAGAGGCATAAAAGTCATGTTCCACTCCTTGGGGCACTGGGACATAAAAAAGCAAGCATAGGGTGGGGGAAGAGGGCTCAGACTGGGCACCAGGTTGCTACGGGACTGGGAATGCTGGACCCTTTCTCTCACTATACTTTATCTTCTGCACAGCCTTGGGAAAGGCCACCCTGCACCTCCATCTTCTCAGCAGCTTAGGGAGCAAAGGGACCTTCATGGTGGAAGCAGTGATAAAAGGAGAAGCCAGATGGACATGAGATTTGGTCGTGCCCAGCTCCCAGATACATGTGGGGTTTCTTATTTCTGGGTTCCCCACAGGGTACCCTTGTGGCTCTTGGTGGAGGTGGGATACAAGCACTGGCTGGCAGAATAAAGCTGGCGCCAGATATTTGGGTGTTAATTGAGGGTATTTCCCCCAGCTCCCCTTCCCCAGGGGCTCTTGTCACCCAGCCAGCACCGTCCTGCCGGGGCTGTGCTGGGAAGGGCGGCGGGTGGTTTAATTGGGGTGTCGAAAGCCAGGGTGCTAGTCGTTGCGCCACGCTGTTGTGTCTTGCGACCGCAGGTCAAGCCACCACTCAGGCAAGGACTCTGCTCCCTTGTCTCGGAGACCAGCCCAACCTGCGGTGGGAGATAAGGGACTGCTGGGTCCCCTGGTCCCGCCAAAAATGCTTATGCTGCTGGAGGAGCTGTTAGGATGAAAGGCACAACCTGCCCTAGATCACCCTGTGTGGTCCCCACCAGCCTCTGGAAACCCTTGCGGGGCTGTGTGTGACATACGGGGCCCCTATACTGGGGGCTAATTTTCAAGCCCCAGCAATAATTACAGAACCACTGGAATTAAGTGCTGCCTCCCCATTACAGCTAACTGCAATGGATTATTAATTACTTAGCAAGCAACCCCTGCAAACTAAGCGCACAGGAGGTCAGCAGCTTTGATAATCCTGTTTTCTTCTTCCCCCCACCCCCCCTTGATTAAGTACACAGGGGGGGTTGGAAAAGCCAAAGGCTGACTTCACTTGCTAGCAGCTTTCTCTCCAGGGCCCTGATCCAGCTGTTCACCAAGCACGACACAGCTCTCTGCTCCTTTCAGAGAGCTGGAGAAAAACGGGTCCATCCAGGACTTGCTGAGTATTCCCCATTCATCCTCTCCTCTCCAGATAGAGGGATGCCCTGCAAAAATCTTGGGTTTCTTCCAGTCCCAGTAGAGAGAGACGCACTCACAGGGCAGAAGGGTGTCCACTGGATATCAGTGCTACAGGGACTTCTCCGGACTCTCACCTCACAACCCTAAACCTCTCTCTGGCAGTGCTTCTCATGCCCTTTTCTCCCTCCAGCTCCTCTGAAGTCTCCCGATACTCGTGACTGAGCATTTGTTTATTCCTCCCCACCCCAGAGGCTTGCCAGCACACACTAAAAGCCCCAGCAGCCGTACCTCCACCTGCGGCAGGCAGAGCTGCTCTCACTGCAGCCCACAGTTTCTCTGCAAACCTGCCAGCAAAGCAGCTACCCAGCCGGTTTCAGCTTTTCAATAGCGCAGGTGGTTTGCTTGCCTTCTTCCCATCTTTTTTCCTCTTTCCTATAGTGAACCACATGCCACCTTCCCCCTTCTTTCGTGCCTTGTCTCCCTGTCCCAAAAGTCCTCCCCCTGAAAGCACCAGTCCCACCCCGATTTATCCTTTTCACACCTGCTCTAATGAGGTGTGAACACCAAAGGGGAGCCTCCCTTACCCAGGACAAAGGCTGGGAGCCCATCACTGCCAAAAACAAGAGGAGGGCAGTGTCTAGATAAGAAACTGGTCCCATTTTCAATCCTAGATTTTTTGAGGAGTCTTTAATCCTTGAGTTTAGCCCACCACCTCTGCTCATGGCTCCTCTCTCCTTCTTTGCAGGCCCAGTATTACGGTGAGATCGGCATTGGGACCCCACCCCAGAAGTTCACTGTGGTCTTCGACACTGGCTCCTCCAACCTCTGGGTGCCATCTGTGCACTGTCACCTGCTGGACATCGCCTGCTGTAAGTGTGCCCTGTGCCGGCCATGGCTCGACAGCTTCCCCTTCCCTGCAAAATGCAGATCCTGTCATTGCAAGAGGAGAAACCGAGGCAGCAGTGTGAAAGGGCTTGCCAGAGCTTGATGGGCTCTTTAGGGGCAGAGCTGGAAATAGTATCCCAACCTCCCACATCCACCCTTTGTTACTCCCTTCCTGTTTTTTCCCCTCGACGTCACCCACGCACAGCTTCAAACCTTCCCCAACAGCCTTGGCCCTGCAGCTGGGGAGCAGCATCACAGGTTGGGATGTTTCTCCCCAAATTATAGACTGACGCTGCTGTTGCCCCATTGCGCAACGCTGGTGAAAAAAAATCAGCCTCTTGCCAGATCTGATACAAACTGTCCTAGTTTCTGGTTTACTGCCGCATGGAGCATGTGCGTGCATGCTTATAGATTTATAATTAACAAGAGCCAGGTAGACACGATGAGATGAGAACATCTTAGGGACTACAAGTTTTTTTGCTCTGTGGCGTTCCTACGCAATAAACCTCTGCAGTTGAAAGTGTCAAACCTGGGGCAAAATGCCGTTGGAAAGCCACCGGCTGTGCTGCTTAGGCAGAGTGGAGAAAACTGTGGAGCCAACAAATGCAACCATGAAAGGTGGCTCACAGTGCTCGTCAGGGCTGGGGAGGAAATTTGGACTTCTTGTACAAGTAGTGCAAGGAGAGGAGACAGACCTTTTTGCATGTGTGAAATGAGGCTTAGGACACTGGTAGGGTGGCGAGGTCCAGACCTGGTCTGCCTTGGAGGTTCCTGATTTACAGCAGGGAGATGGTTTCTCAAGGCAGTGGCACAAGAGGTGCTGGGACCAAAGGGACATTTTATGAGTATGCAATGAGCCTGACCCCCTGCCAGGCCAGGATCTGGCCAGGGAAGTCCCAGTCTAGCACTCTGTTCCCGTAGGGCTCGGTGGGTTCGTCCTCAGCCGATGTCTGTCCTGCTCTGTGAGCAGCTGTGGGGCCGGGCCGGCTGAGCCGGCCACACGCCGCTGCCCACCTCGTGACTCGGGAGGAATCTGTGGAGGAGGAATCTGCCTGGCCATAAAACCAGGCATATCTTAGAGTTCCCAACCCTTCCAAGGGGAAAAGCAGCTTAGACTAGGGGAAAGCCCTTCTTCTCTGCAAATAAAAGAGTATTTCGAGCCCTCTCTGAACAAAAAACATTGACCATATTAAAAAATTTCCAGTTGTTCATAGTAAAAGAAACAGGTAAATCCACGAAGTGAAAATGTTTACGCGCAGAGCAGGCTATAATTAAAGCCACCCTGGTTCTCCATGGCACAGGGCGGGACATTCGCTCTGCTGCCTAATGCACCCTGACACACTAGCCGCGTAGTCTCTCTAGGCTTTTAATACCCGGTAGCCAAATCCGATTTAACAGGCAAATTGTATCTGCCCACCTAATTCCCCAGACATTAGAAGTGCTTTGTTAAAGTGGTCTGAGCGTGCAAATGCTGGGTTCAGGCCCACCTTCGTATCGTTGAGTGTCCATTTGTCCAGATGAGCTGAATGGATAGGGTGGGGTTAGGTATCAGGAAGCCCTAGGTGTCAAGGAGTGCTGATGTTGTATGTCCCCCTGTGTCCCCCTCCCTGGCTGCAGTGCTGCACCACAAGTATGATGCCTCTAAATCCAGCACCTACGTGGAAAACGGCACCGAGTTCGCCATCCACTATGGGACGGGGAGCCTCTCCGGGTACCTCAGCCAGGACACTGTCACGGTGAGTAACAACTCCCCTTGCCCTGAGCTGCCCCAGCCTGCTTTTGACAGAGTGCTCAATGCTGTTTGATTTCAACGGGTCTCCCTTCTTGAGTGTCCTACTCATAAAGAGCATGCTTCAGCGCCATGTTTCTGAGTGCTTTGAAATGAGGTGGTGATGATGACTGAGGAGATGACAATGACCAAGGCAGGCAGAGAAGGGGGAAGGTATTAATCAGGACGTCAGCAGGCTAGGAGTGTGGACTACACACATGGTGCCCTGCAAACAATGGTCTCTGGCCATCCCTCCCACCCTCTTCCTCCTGACCCTGGAAATTTCCCAGCCCAAGCACACACCAGCACCACCACACAAGCTGCTGGTGGTGCCCAGCTTGTTCCTGGCCAATATTCACGTGGTAGTGGACATCCCCACGGGCAGCTGCCCAAACACTGGCCAGAAATGGTCTCTTCGCTGCCCCTTCCTGGTCTCATGTCAAGAACTGGTGCTTAGGTTTGCAAAGGCTGTGTACACCTGGGGGCGTTCCCCAGCAGCGTTCAGGGCACAGCTTGAGGCAGCTGAGTTGCTGGTGGTTGCTTCTCATCGTTTCCTGTTCAGAGAACAAAGGCTGAGCTTTCAGCCCTGTGAAGGACGGGCGCCTTTCCCGACTGCCTCCCTGGTACAGATGCTTGTGAGAGTTTGCCAGCTGCCAGGCATCAGTGGCACACGTGCTCCCAGATTACTTGGTCTCCTGGCAGGGATAAGAGCAAATGCTTGCTTGGCATGGGGGAGATGAAGCAAAAGTTTGAAATAAGCACATAAATCTAGGGATTTGGGGTTTTTGGAAAAGTACTGGCTTACCAATTTCATTGGAATCAAAAGAAAAATATCCAAGAGGAGTCCAAAGTGGGTGGCTCATGCAAGGAGCACTCTGTAGCCTGTCCTTATAGCAGGGAAATTTCAGGCTAGCCTGGAAGCACCAGCCATTGCCTCTGCACTGCACCCAGAGGTGTCAGCAGCTCAGACTGGGTGCAGGACACTCGGGGGAGAGGGCTTTTGATGGGCCAGGTGAACCCTGAAAGTCAGTGCAGACAAGGCTGCTGGGAAGAGCCGCAGGGACTGCCAGCACCTTTGCACCTCTGTTTTTGCTCTCTGCCTCCTGCAGCCCACCAAGCTCCAGGACTGTTTCAGTTTTATTTCATGACATTTGTTTCCTGCATCCCTCAGTTCACTTAGAAACACCCTGCCACAAAAAAAGCTGCCAATCCGAGCCTTCCTGCAGCTCTTGCCAAATGAAGTCACCATGTACATAGCATTAATGGATTCTCTTAAACTAGATTTGCAAAATTCAGATGGAGCAGGAAGAGGTATCTGCCTTTGTCCCAGTAATGGAGCAGGGCAGCAAGGCAAACAGCAAACTTTATTGTCCTGTGAAAGTGTGGGCTGGTTTAGGCACTTTCCAGCTTAATGCAGGGGCTGAAGTGAGTCAGAAGGAAAATTGCAGCTTTTTCTTTTTTTTTTTTGTAATTATCAACCTAATGCCTGCTTACTAAATAGCTCTCCACTTCCCAGTGGCTCAGAGGAAGGATTTTGTGCCTGAGCTTATTTGGGAAGCGGGGCTGGCTCTTGGCAGCCAGCACAGCTTGTAACATTTGGTTTCTGTCTGGGCAGAAGCAAGAGAAACTTGCTTGGAGCCTGAGCAGTGTCACGTGACTCAGAGGGTCAGGGACCTTCCGCTTGGACACCAAGATGCTTCCTCTGATACACAACATCCCACAGGCAAGCCCCCAGTCAGGTGTAGCCTGGAAATGCAGACACTGAAACAGCCTTCAGGGTGACCCTCTTGGCTCTGGCCATCCCGATGGATGGAAGCAGCCACATCAGCCTGTGGGATCACTGGCATCTGACCAAAAGGTGCTGGTTGGCAGGTGGTTCAGAGTCCCTCAGCCCTGAATTCTTTTTTTTGGGAGAGGGTGACAAGCTCATGTTGAACGTCCTCTCTCCTGTGGAGGAATGGTGCCCTGTAGCATCACACCCCTCAGTGCTGCTTGCTCCCCAAAGAGCGGCAGGTTCAGCCAGCCCTCTGCTGCTCTGGCATCTCATCCCTTTATCACAGCCCGACCTTGGGCTGTCCTTCAAGGACAGCAGAGGAAATATCACTGCCTATGGGGCATGAGGTCTCTCCCGGGGCTGCAGTGCAGATACACCGTACAGGAGACGTCCCTCCTCACCTCTCCCTTGGGCCTCTGCAGAGGGGAGCTCCGAGCCCTGGTGCCAAACCATGCTGTGAAGGCCCTCACCTCTAGCCTGCCGTCACCACCCAGTGCTTGCTTGCTCAGGCGAGGCTGCTAAGGAGGAGGCCAGGCAAGCTGCGGGGTGCCAACACCTCTCTGCAAAGCACGGGAGGGCAGCCACGGGGCAACCATCATCCACTTGTAAAGATTTTTCAGTCACTTCATGTTTGGACCCCACCACTGGGCAAGTATCTGCCTTCCTCTTGGGACATGCAACCAGGGCAATATTTAAACAAACCTGGTGCTTGGTTTTATCAGCGTTTTTGTTTTTGGGGTTTTTTTTAAGTGGAAGCTTTATTGAAGTTGCTGAGGTGCTGCAGGACCAGCTGTGCCAAGTAGTGGAGTGGTGGCATTTGTAAACCTGCAGTGTCTAACTGGGGCGCTCGCCACGGATGGGCGAGCGGATGTGTTGCTGTGAGCTGTTTCACCCCACATCCTGCCCTGTGGCTTTTAGCTTTTGCAAGGCTCGATCGCCCTTTCCTAGCACAAGCCTCCAATACCGTTAAAGCCAGCACCACCCATCCCAGCCTTGCGCTGTCTAACCCTGGGGAGATATTAGTAATTTACAGGGATCGTTATCTGCCATCAGGTAGGAGAGGCCAGCTTTTCAGTCCAGCCCAGTTCACTACAGGGCTTCTGGCTGCAGGCTGGAAGGCTGAAATTGTCCTAGCATGGATGCTAAAATTGCCCATGGTCAGCCAGAAGCACCAAAACCTCCAGAACTGTTAGATCCAGGAGCCAGCAGACACATCTTACTCCCTGTCAGCCGAGCTATCCTGCTTTCTGTGATCTCCTTCTTTCTGGGGATCTGCCCTTGTGAGCAGTTTCAGCTTTCCAATGGGGAAAGTCAGTCCTTCTCATGGCTGGCAAGAGAGGTGACCTTTGCTTTCAGAGTGCTCCACTTGCTATTTTCATGCTTCAGGCTCAGTCTTACTGTCCTGGCTGGGTCTTTTCCCCTCCCACAGGAGGTCTCTGCAGGCTGGAGGCTCTTCAGGAGCTGCAGCAATATCCTGGGGATGTTTCTTGTGTAGGAGAGATCACAAGGGTTGTTGACAGAGGTGAGAGGGATTCGTGCTCTCAGCCGGGCATGGGTTCAGCACCCGAGAAGGTAGGACACAGACATGACTTTGAAGATGTCCAGGGTGGGGAAGAGGATTAAAGGAGCAGCACAAGAGTTTTTCAGACTGGGAGGAGGGGATGAAGTAGATGACAGAGGAAGGCATGTAGCAGGCACAAAGTGATACAGGGCCCTCTGTGCAAAGAGGAGGACCTGCAAAATGGCATAGCCAGTGCTGTGACCCAGCAAAAGGCCCTTTGGATGAGTGAGGTGGGCAAAGGGGGGCTGCTGCCTTTAGGGGTGCACTGGGCTTTGCAGGGGCTGAGGAGGTGCCACCGGGCAGCCAGAGTGGCCTCCCGGCCCCCCCCGCCAAGGAGAGTGGCAACAGGGTGTCTGGTTTCTGCAGCTGCCTACAAATGCAAGGGTGAGAGCTGGCAGGAGCGTGGCAGCACGCTGAGGGACGCACTACAGCCTGCATTCAGTGAGATCCTGTTTCCATTCTGGTCCCTTGAGTCAGTTTTCTTTACAATCTGCTTTTCCCTTCCCACCCCATGTCTCCTCAGCTCGGTAACTTGAAAATCAAGAACCAGATCTTCGGGGAGGCCGTGAAGCAGCCAGGCATCACGTTCATCGCTGCCAAGTTCGATGGCATCCTGGGCATGGCATTCCCAAGGATCTCTGTGGACAAGGTCACCCCTTTCTTTGATAACATCATGCAACAGAAGCTGATTGAGAAAAACATCTTCTCCTTCTACCTGAACAGGTAGCGTTGGGTTTGGTGGCACAGCGGTTAGTGCAAGGGCAAGCCCAGCTGGGCATTTCTTTATGTCTCCCAGTAGCACCTCTTGCTGTGTGCTGGTTTATGCCCTGGCCAGCACTGCTGGGGAAGTTTCAGCAAGGTCTCCTTGCTGGAGCAGTTGGGCCAAAATCTCTTCTGTTTACTGCTTTGAAGTCAGAAGAGGGGAAGGAGCAATTGAACCATTTTACTGATAAAAAGCTGGGTAGATCTGCTGCCAGATTTCTTAACCGATGAAGAGACAGAGGCTGTTCCCAGAGAAAAGATAAATAAAAATAAACAGGGCTGCAATCATGAGATTGCACGCTGCTAGTGCAGTCCCCATTAGGGGGTAAACACAGCCCCAGTCTGTTGCTAAAATCCACAAGCCACGTGGCCACTACCGTGTCACCTCCCAGGCAAGTGTGCCCCCCACCAGTCATCACTAATGATGGGGCTAACGCTCCCTCGCTCCCCAGGAAATCCTCCTCTGTGCCTCCCAGTGCTTCCCACCCACTGTCACTCCCCCCAGGACACCCCCTCACCTTCCTGGCACCGCAGGGGGGACTCTGAAGTACATCAGCCCAAAAAGTAGCACGCAGGGAGGGCAGAGAGGGCTGCTGCTGGCTGTTCAAGTGCCAGCCCTCCCCCATCACCATATTTCTTCCCATCTGCTCGGCAGCGAGCTTTTATCTGACGGTAACCTTGAGGATTCGGCTCCGAGGTTGTTGGCTGGCGCGGAGTCGAGTGCAGATAACCTAACGCTGCATCAGCCAGGGCCAACCCTGCATGAGTGCTTGTTACAAGCTGATTATTTGGAGGGTCACTGTGTCAGTGCTTAGTTCCCCTTTGCTATCCCTCTTCTCTGCAGCAAGTTTTTTCAGGTGTTTGTGAGAAAGCACCGGGTGAAAAGCTGCAGGATGCTTTGGCTGGGCCAAAATATTCCCTTTTCACCACCCAGGCTATCTCGGCAGTATCTGTCCTTATATTGATGTATTATAGCACAATGTAAGTCATCTGTCTCCAGTGCTGCTAATGCCATGCTTCACCCACAAGCACACCAGCTTGTATTTTGGGAGGACGTGGAGGAAGTTGTTCTTGCCCTGCCCCTGATCTTCATAGGTTTGTTGTTGGGTTTTTTTTTTCCAGAGACCCCACTGCTCAGCCCGGTGGCGAGCTGCTCCTGGGAGGGACTGACCCCAAGTATTACAGTGGCGACTTCAGCTGGGTCAACGTCACACGCAAGGCCTACTGGCAGGTCCACATGGACGCGTAAGTCCCCCCTCCACCCAACTACATGCCTGGGCACACATGTGCAGACAGCTCATGCCTGGGGCTGGGTTGATACCCTCCCCAAAAAGGAATCATCTCTATCCCTGCAACACATCTACACCAAAAAAAAACCCAGATTAAAATCCCACCCTAAGACTGGGTTGTTTGTTGCTGGAAGGGGAGGAGAGGCAGAAAATGGCAGGAGATGTTCTGCACAATCGTTTTCTCTTGTTTATGGCTTGGCCCTTGAAAACCCTGCTGCACCTTTGCGAAACAGGGAAAAACGTCAGCGTGTCCTCGCTGAGGATAGGGCAAGGCCTACGGATTGAACCCTGGCTTTGCTCAGCTCTCAGTGAGGCCTGAGCAGTGTGGCTCACGTGCACACAGCTCCGGAGGAGCAGGATGAGGCCCCAGGAAGCCAGCCCTTGACTGAAGGGCACGGTGCAGCAATCAGCACACATTGTTGGAGGCAGAGGGGAGGAGAGCGGGCTGAGCTGCCGACCGCCAGCCCCACGGTCTATTCTGAGCTCTCCCACGTGATGGGAACTTAAAAGTAGCCTGTGATCAGAATGTGTCATTTTCCCGGGGATCGCATCTCTCCCCAGTGCAGGGTTTTAGTGCTCATCTTCCCCCAGCCCTGCCACGTTGGCAGAGTGTGGCAGACAAGGGTCTGTGGTGGCTGGAAGGATTTTTCTCTCTGTGCTGCTGTGAAATGTGATGCAAATGAGGAAGCCAAGCTCCTGTCTTGCCTCTTTGATGCGCAGGAACGCTTCCCTTGCCTGTGACCCCCTCAGCTGTCACAGCACCCCTTCAACCCTTTCCTTTGCGCAGTAGCACAGGTCACACAGGTCCCTAATGCATTGCCCTTGGATGGCTCACATGCCCATTAGCTGCGGTGCTTGCTCTGGGGGCAGGTAGCAGCCAGGGTGCACAGGCAGCAAGCAGCCCAGGCTCTCGGCACAAATGCAGTAACAGCTCAAGGCACCCACTCAGTCAGGAGCAGGCAAGGGGGAGCCAGGGGGTCTGTACACTAAGTCGGTGCTGCAGCAGTATTCCTGAGTGTCTGTCCTTCCCAGGCGTCTCTCGCAGCCCTCCCTTCCATGCCTACATACTGCCCAGGCTCAGCCATCTTCAACTCTTTGCCTGCTGCTTCCTGCAGTCTTTGCTGGGAGGCCACTAATGGTTGTTCTCTCCCCAGGGTGGACGTTGCCAACGGGCTGACTCTGTGCAAAGGGGGCTGCGAGGCCATCGTGGACACGGGAACCTCGCTCATCACCGGCCCCACCAAGGAAGTGAAGGAGCTACAGACAGCCATCGGTGCAAAACCTCTTATCAAAGGCCAGGTGAGGCCGATCTGGGAAAGTGGGAGTCCACAGCCATTGTGGCGTCCATGCTGACGCCCTGCTTTGCACCCAGATGCTTCTAAAAGCTCCATTTTTCTGCTCCCTCTGCTCTCTGTTCCCAGCCTGTGCTCCTGGAAAAGCCCCTGGCACAGATCCCCAGCCCTGCCACATCAGCTGTTGTGCCCTGGGGCTCAGCAGAGCCAAAAGCTGAACCCAGAATCCTTTGGCTCCATCCCCATCCTTAAAATCCTCTGGCTCCTCAGCTGGCAGCCCTGGGCAGGGAGCAGCCCACTTACCCCAGCTCAAGCCTCTTCTGCAGCCTGAGATGAGTTAGTTTTGGGGAAGACCACAGCAAAGACATGATTGTGCCTGGCCAAGACTCTGCCCTTTCCTCAGGGTATAGGAGCTGCCATTTAAAGCCTGTACTGTTGCCATTTCAGTACGTGATCCCCTGTGATAAGGTGTCATCTCTGCCTGTCGTCACACTAACACTAGGAGGGAAGCCCTACCAGCTCACTGGAGAGCAGTACGTCTTCAAGGTACGTCCAAGCAGCTTTTGCCAGCCCTATGCTTCTTCCCCAAGGCCTAACTTTTGCCTCCTTCACTCAAACCTCAACCATTGAAATCCAAAATGTAAGAGGAGCAAAAGCAAGGCTGGAGCTGGCACTTGGGAAAAAGTCTGAAAGGTTGGGGTGATGGTGTGGTGGCACTGCTGATGGACCCAGGCAACCTCACCAGCATCCTGGAGGAACGAGACCCCCTGTGTGATGCTCACGAAGGCTAGCAGGATGGGAGAGGAAGAGCAGGCAGGCTGCTTCATCACTGTCTACAAACATTTTGCCCTTTCCTGGTGGATTCTGGTGCCGTGAGGCCAGCCTTATCATAGCAGAGGCCACCAGCCTGGCATTTAAGCCATCAGAGTCAACTTGCAAGGACCATTTTGTGCAGAATTTCAACAACAGCTCTAATTCAGAGCAGCGTGGGCTGGGAGGTTTATGGGTATGTGCTTTACGTGATGCTTTGCTGCATAAGGGCTCTGGGAAGGGCAGCTGGGTTTGGAGCTGTGGGGGCGGCGGGTTGGGAGTTAACTCTGGCAAGCTGTGGATCTCGGGCTGAAGCACTGGGCTGTTACTGCCCAGCCTGCGAGGTCAAGGGAAGGGGGGACTCCTTGGATTGAAGCTCTCACTCTTCTGTCTAGGTTTCTGTACAAGGAGAGACCATCTGCCTGAGTGGCTTTTCAGGCCTGGATGTCCCACCCCCTGGGGGCCCACTCTGGATCCTGGGAGATGTCTTCATCGGTCCCTACTACACCGTCTTTGACCGTGATAACGACTCTGTTGGCTTTGCCAAATGTGCCTAAGCACCTGACCCCCACTGCCTCTGCCACACACATTTACACACACGCACGGGAGCCATAGAGAAAGATTACCAGGATTAGAAAACCAGTGAGTGGAATGGAAAAAAAAAAAAAAGTAAAAGAAATGGAACTAGACTTAAAATTACATGGAGAATAGTCATTAGTGCCCTGCTAGCTACTTTTTCCCTTCCGTTGAGTAAGTGGTGCTGGGAGGTTTCTAGTTGACAACTCCAGCTGGAGTAGCCCCTTGCTTTACTGCTAGGTCTTGAAGTATTTGTCTTTAAGAATGATTCTCGGAGCTGAACAAGGCCCTCTCGCATCTCCCAGCCCTGGTCTTCTTCCTGGGGGGCAGCTGGAGCCAGCCCCTGGCACCTCTGTTCCTGCAGAGAGGTTGTGTGGCTGCTCTTGGGTTTGGGCTTCTGCACTGGGGGAGAGGGACGGGGAATGCTGTCTGACACATTCTTTACTTCTTGCTTTTTCACTGATGAAGTGGGGGAGTGGGAGGTGGGAGAGAGTCTGTCTTCATCAACCCTCTGCGATGGGTTGAGGCAGCCACCGCTAGGTCATTTCTCAACATGTTTGTGCTGGCTTGGTCCTAGGAGAGCATATCCCAGGCTGGATCAACGGGAGGTCCTGGTAGCATGCCCAAGGTTGAGCTTCAGAGCCAGAGGGCTCTGGTGGTGTGTTTTTGTGTAGTGATGGCACTGATGAGATTGCTGGAGGCATGGCATCCATGTGCCTGACCTAACAGCACAGAGATTTGTAGGGGGGCTCCAGCCAGTGGGACTCTTGGGGAATATGAATATAAAGGGGGTCAAGATAGGATTTAATAGAGGTCACTTGAATTCATGGCCACGAAGGCCCAGCTTTCTGCTGAGCAGTGTCACTTGACACAGGTTCTGTTGAGTTTGGTGAACATCTCCCAGGTTCCCCAAACCGCAGATCTTCCCAGCTTCCTCCGCAGCCAGTGAGTTGAGAATAATGTTTCCTAAAGCAACTAAGTGCTCTACAAGCTGAAATCACACTGATAAAATCCGTAGGTGTTTTGTCAGCCACATAAGACCTTTTGGAAACATTATTCACAGCACTTTGCTCAAAACTCGAGGCAGTTGGCAGAGGCAGCAAGCTGTCTGGGCCGGAGGTTGCCATGGCAGCTGCTGGACTTGTATTTGCTTTCCCTGCTGCCCTGTCACAAAACCCAACTGTCTTTTAACACCCTCCTTCCCTGTTTCCCACCTTACTAATGCTAGTAAGAGCTCTGTCCACCCTGTGTTGCAGATGGAGTGAGGCACAATCCTGCTTTGGAGAGGCTGTAGCTGGTTTAGTTGTACCCGCAGATGCTCCCGGAGAGTGAGATCTGAGCATATTGAGCCGCTCGCTTCACTGGGCTGGCGTCAGTAGGCAAACACTGGTGCATCTGGGAGGACAATAAAGTGAGTTCTAAGCAGTACTGGAAAGCAGAAGAGAGTCTGCCAAGAATTCCAGCCAATGCTGGGGGAAAAAGACTCTTCTGTTTGCCAGGGCACTGGATCGGGTCCTGAAGTAAGGGAGTGGCAGCAGATGAGGGGCAAAGCTGAGGGTGGCAGGAGGACCAAATCAGCACCAGCTGTGACCCCAGACCAGGCAAAACAGACAGTGAAGTCCTGGCTCCCTGAAGCTCAGCAGTACTGGTGGGGCCAAGGAAGTTCCTGAGGAAGGTCTTTGGGCAGTGGGTGAACAGGTGGTTATTCCCAGTGAGATGCATATACATCGTCCCCAATATTAAATTCACCACGCATTCAGAGGCACAGGTGGGGAAGAGGTCCAGAGGTGAGCTGTGGGAGAACAGTGCATACATAGCCTGTGGATCCCCTGTCCCCACCCACTTCAGCTGGTTAGATTGGCTTCATAACCATGCCTGGTGCCACAGAGGGGTTGGCACGGGCAGTGGGGACAGGCGTGGGCACACTTGGGACACCTGCATTGTCCCCTGCAACCCCACACATGACAAATGCTTCTCCCAAAGCTTGCTTCTGCCTGCTCATAGTCTTCACCTGCAACCCTGCATCTGGACGCCTAAGGACATTTGTTGTGGACTGGCTAGAGAACAGTAGCATGTTACCAAAAACCAAATCTATACGTACTCTGAAATCAGCAGATACTCGACACCTCTCTGGAGAGCCCAGGTTTCACATCAGTTAAGTGCCCAGAGCTCCTCCAAGTCCTGCTGCGTTGTCTCCCAGCTGCAGGATTTCTTCAGCCTGGGGTACCTGCTAAACAGAGCTAATTGGTGGGGGGGAAGCCTGACATGGAGCTGGCAGCAGGTTTTGAACGTCTTCAGCTTTAAGTGGGATGTGCAGCGCAGCCCCAGAGCGAGCCATGGGGCCGCGGTTCTGCTGGGCCTGCAATGCCTTAATGCCATCTGCATTGCAGCCTCCGTGGCCACCCAGGGCTGGGCCGATGTCTGTCCTCAGGCAGGCAGGAGACTGCTGCCTGGGGAAAGGGCATGGCCCAAATCTGTGCCCCGAGTGACCAACCTTAGGATAAGCTGGAGGAGTGGGTCATCGTAGCCTTCCCTGAATGGGCCTCCTCCCCTTTTATTTGCATTTTTAAACCAAACTCTAACCATGTGACTTTTTTTTTTTTATTAATTTGCTGTCAGAATTACTGTCTCATCATAGAAAATGGAAAAGAAAATACAGTATTTCCTCCCTTAACTCTGATTGTGGTCTTTCCTTAAGCAGTTTGAGATGCCAAACTCTTTCTCAGTGTCCAGAGACTCTTTCTCCTTGACCTGTTGTCCCAGTACATCTGGTCATCCAACTGTGTGGGCTCACACATGTTTCAGAAGGGGTCCTTCCATTCTCTCTGATAAGGAAAGATGCTGGGAGGCTGTCGCATTTGCCTTTTTCAGTGTGTTAAAGCATAACCCAGCCTCTGCAGGGTGACATGTGACAGTGTCACCTGCCCGCCACAGTGCCCAGCATCTTTCCTAGCCTACAGTCTTCTCCTGGGGCCACATCTTCCTGGCTGAGTATTGCCAAGGTTGTCTTTCAACGGGGTGCTCCGGCTGTCTCCTGGGCCTCTGGGCCAGCTAGAACAAGCTCTTGCTCAACTGGCAACATAGAGTGGTCCTGTAGTGGCCAAAGTGGGACTCCAGTTTCTAAGTCCACCCAAAACCCACTAGGGGAGCTTATGCTCCCAGAGCCCAGTGAGGAAGAACATGGGGTTTTTTTCAAAATGTAGGAAAAATCCATCCCTCTTGCCTGGCTGTGTGATTTTTTAGTCCTAGTGCTGCTGTATGGGAGCTGCAGACTGATACAGAATGAAGGCCCCATGTGCCAGGTGGAAGATAAGAGCTAATCCCTGCTTTGAAAAAAAGCATCATCTACATAAGCAAGATGGATGCAACCAAGTCCTGTCCCGTCTTCTGAGCGCAGATCTAAGCACACAGAGAGCTTAACTGATTTCCCCACTGGCACATCCTGAGCCTCTGTTCCCCCATGATGCCTTAATACCCCAATCAGCTGTTCTCCTGTGTTAAAGAGATGGATTTCACCCAAAAGGGCTGGCTGGATCCTGAAAACCAATCATGCAGCCCACCATTCCTCAATAGCCCAAGGGGAGAACAAGTCATCCGCTGCCAAATATTTATCGACAGGAATACAAGGGCGTTGTTTCTGCTGGGGGGATTGTGTTTAAGCTGCTAATCGTGCTGTGAGTACTGAACGTTATGTCTCAGTGAGAACAATCACAGGCTTGATCTTGGCCAAGAGCTGGAGAAGCCAGGATTGTCCACCCATGCTTTCCCAGCAGGGAGCAGAGCACACCCCACCCCGTGAGCAGCCTGCATGTGGTCCCACCTTATTTGCCTGGAAAATCCTCAGGATTACACCAGCACCCCTTTTACTGCACTGTCTCTGCAGCACATATGACAATTTGATAACTCACATTTTCTCATTACACGTCCCCTTGAACAGTAGGGCACTTGCCCCTGGCCTCAGGGCTGTCTTCATGGGCCTGATACTTCTCCAGCGAACTCTGCTCAGGGCTTTGCCAAAAGCCCATTCAGACAAGGACCTGCCCAAGGAGAAGGAGGATGAGACCCCTCATTTACGGAGATGACTTGCTCATCTGGTTGGCTCAGCGATTTGTTCATTTGGGAAACTATTTTTACTCATCATGAATGACTAAGCACGTTGTTTTGGGGGCTGGTGGCTTTTTCTTTTTCCGCTCTTTCTTGGATTTATTTATTTTTAGGTTCCTTTGGGAGGGAAAAGAAGTGGAGTGCAGACTGACATCTTAAAGGACAGGAGACAGAGATCAAGGGACAGTGGGGAGATGGGATTTACCACTCCAAACCTCAAGGCACCTTACTGCTTATGGGGCTTAGCAACCCACTGACGGATTTTATAGGGGGAATAGGAAGGAGCACTCAGGAGGTTGTGAATTCTCCTCTGGAAAAAAGCAAGGGCATGTTGCTAGTGGTTTTCCAGAGAGCTGGAGTAGTATTTAAGATGGAAGACTTTCTCACGGGTCTTACAGCACTTGATTATGCTACAGCCCACGTCTCTAACACGATTACAGGAGAATTGCTTTGGGGCAAGAAACATCTATCTCTTCTGTTTGTCCCATGCTTATCACAAGGGAATGTGGGCCTTGATGCCACAGTAATAGAGGTGATTATTCGTACCCACCCCAGCTTTTATTTTGAAAGGAAAGTGGTCCTAGACTTTATAGTTGAGGGCTTGCACACATGACCTTTAAAGACCCCCAGAAAATCAGGAGTGTTAAATTAATGTAGAATATTGAGGGATTTTTATTCCTTGTGTCATTATTTTTAAAGTCAGTTCCTTAATTTTGAAGGGTGACATGAATGGTTTTCGAACCGGTGATGCTGCATATATGCAGCACTGTGGTCCATGGTAATAAACTTCTCACTGTTCACACTTAGCATTGAGAAAGATGATGAATTACCAACCTAAAGACCCACATGTGCTCTGCAAACTGTAGGGATGACCTGATACCCAGAGAAAAGAAAAAGCAGCCATCCAACCTCCCTGGCCTTTCAACCCTATTCACACCAGGGAATGTGCCCACCTCTGTCGATCCCACGTTCCCCTACACCACCCTGCTGCTTCCTCTTGCCTCCTCCAGACCCTCTCTTTGACCTTTTTCTCTGCTCACCCTCCATCCCTGCCTGATGTTAAGAAGAGGAGCAGCCCTACCTACACAACTTTCGCAAACAAATGAACAGCAGGCTCAGCAGTAGCTCCCATGGCAGGCAGCAATCTGCATCCAAGGGGTTTCATTGCTCCTCCTGAGCCTGCAGGAAGGATGCTCTGCACAGCTGCGGGTTGCCTGGGTTTGTCCAAGCCTTCCAGAAAAGCTGATGACAGCTGGCCATGGCTCTGCCTCTCCTGCAAACCTCTTAATCCCACAGGAACATCACTCTCACCCCAGTGCTGCTTCTGCTTCTTAGCAGCTTCTTGGAGAGAGACTCGGGTTTGTCACAGGCAGCCGTAGCACTAATAAAACCCTCTTTACTTTGGCAGGACCCAACACCACTCCAGAAGTGATAAATCCCAAACTAGAGGGCAATTTCTCCTTTTTTAACCAGCACAGTCGCCTTCAGAGAGATTAAACAGGCCTCGTGGAAACTGGACCCCCTCCAGCCTGGGAGTGCTGTGGACATGCAAGAAGTCCCCTTGCATCACACCGACCCACGGGCTGCCCCTGCACAGGAGCTGAACCTGCCTGTGAAAAGCCGAGTGAATTACCATCCTTACTTCTTAGCTCAGCACTTTGTGAGCAGGCTTAAGGCATTTCCAGAGGATTTCCCTTCCCTTGCAGGTACTGCTCGTGCGAACTTTTGTTTTACCAGCCTGTTTCCAGCACTGTGGGGATTTCTCTTCTCCCCTTCCCCGGCGCCTCAGCCAACATGGTTGCCTCAGAGCCACCTGCGCTGGGCCAGGTTTGGCTGCCGTGGGTGACACGGTGTGTCCTCATGTCCTCACCCTCCCCATGCCACAGCTGTGTCCTCCCAAATGACCTGCAAGCTGTCCCTGCGTGGCACCAGCTGCTCTCAGCATCACGTCTCTGGGGGGACGCTACCGCAGCACCCCAGAATCAGGTTTCCACGCAGCTCCCGGGGCAGTTAGCACCGGGAAGCAGCAAGCACTTCCCTGATCCTGTGCCAGGTCCAGGCACGGCCAGATCCTCGCAGGCTCATCCATCCTTCGTGACACCCCCACCTCCCTCCCCTAAAGCAGCCGCATGCCCTGTGCCCTGCTGCTGGGGAGCTCCCTGCATGGGGATTTGCTCCGTGCAGCAGGATTTATCGCCCCCCATGTAGGATTTATCCCTTTTTCATTCATCCCCCACAACCAGAGCACTGCATTGCCACCACCTCCCCTTGTCACGCAGTCCCAATGGTCCCCACACGCCCCTGCCACACTTGCTTTAGGTTTTTGTCCAGGCCCACAGGAACGAACCCACAAGCCAGCTGCAGCAAGTCCCCACTGCAAAGGTCTCTGGGGGTGATGTTGGGGAGGGTCGGGCCGAGCATCCCCTCCGGATGGCCGGGGAAGCCGCTCGGCCCAGGAGATGCCCTTCTCCAGCAGAGCGCTACCAGGATGCTTCAAGCAGGAGGTGACGTCCCCGGGGACACACACACACACACGCACACACACACACACACACACACACACACACAAGGAAAAGGGCTGAGACACGGAGGAGCTCTCCTGCGTGGAGCATGGTTGGGGGGATGGGAGAGGGCTGCAGGTTGACCTTGCCATCCCCTACCCACCCCCCTGCCCACCCCTAGCCCGTGGGTGCCCCCCCCAGCCCTCCCCTCCTCCCGCAAGCCCAGCGCCGAGGAAGCCGAGCCGGAGGCAGTGCGGAGCCGGATATGCAGCGACTCCCCGCATCCCTCCTTGTGAGTATCCCTCGCTCCTCCTGATCCCTTCGGAGGAGCCGGATGGACGGACAGACGGGCAGCCAGAGGTGGACTAGTCTTCCTCTTCCTATATCCCCTTCCCCATCCTCTGTCTTCATCCCCCTCCTTCTCCTCCTCCTCTCCGGCTACGATATTCTCCTCTCAAA